TAAAGGAAACTGCCTACCAGTTGTTGTGCCTTTTCTTGTCTTTATTTGGAACAAGGAATAGTCTGCTGTGCTTGTGTAATTGTGGTGTTTCCAGACTAACGAGAAAAGACGTTCTTTTCATCTCTCAATAATGTGTTGTTGTTTGCCCTTTGTTTTTGAAGAGCACCAATGACATCACAGGGTGGTGTCTTGACCCCTTTGTGAATTGGATTTAAGTGAGGCTGGGTTGCACGAAATCATCAGCCTGGCTCTTACTTCCTGAGTCATCAAAGGCCAGTGGCAGGACAAAAGTCAGGAAGACTGGCCACGACCCTAGCTGCTGTGGATGACCTTGGAGTCTTCAAGGCCTGACCAAGCTCTAAGCCTTCCCCACTGCCTGCTTCAGACACGTTCGTGGCCAGTGAAACAAATTGTTCTCATCTGCCCATTCCTCCAGAGAAAGTTTTCACGTGCTTGGAGTAGACCCCTCCCCCCGACTCACTTGCAGGTTTGAGACTCCTCGGCTACCCTCAGCTTGGTTTAGCCCATCTGCCAAAGTGGTTTACCAAGGCATGGCCACTCTGCATGTTACAGCTTTTTGGAGTCACAGGTGAGAGTTGAGTGTGAGCTGGACACCAAAGGTGGCTGAGCAGCCCTGAAAAGGGCTGGGCAAGCCCTCACACCAGAGATGGTGGCTCTCCCTGAACACCCCATATAGCCTTCTTAATAATCTAAAGCAAATAATCTAAAAGGAAAAGGACGTGTAGTTTGTCTGCTAATCGTACAAAGACTGCCTGAATCAGACAATGGTTCAGAAACAGGTATTTCACGTTAAGAAGGCTCTGCATGATCTAACCCAACAGCTAGTTCAGACAAGGAGAGAAAACTGAACCCAGAGGCAACACTTTGCTGCCTAGAAATTCCAAAGACGCAGATACACCTGTGGAGGTAACACGCATGGATAGCAAACCTGAGCCCTCCACAAAATCAAGTTTATGGGAAGACTGGTAGGAACAGATGCAAGGTGAAGTAAGCACAAAGAAGAAAGTCATTTATCCCTTAACATTATAAAAAATAAACAACTTTGAAAGACTTAAGAACTTTGATTAACACAATAATCAATCAAGATTGCAGAGGACCAAAAATAAAGATTGCTACCCATCTCCTAACAGGGAAGTGATGGATTAAATATATAGAATGAGACACATTTTGGGGCAGGACCTGTATGGAAATTTGTTTTGACTATACATATTTGTTACAAGTGTTTTTTTTTTCTGGTAGAGGCAAGGTAAAAGGGAGAAAAAATAAATGCTTGTTAATTGAAAAGAAAATTGATTTTTTACAAAATTTGGGTTTTTATATATAGAACTATGGTTCTGATAATTATGATATACAGCTCATACCATCAGCTAGTTCAGGTATAGGGACAGATAGACCAGCAGACCATGAGACAGCTTGGTCTATTTGACGTGTGACCAGACTAACTTAGGATGTTATAGGGGCAGTTGGAGGGGTCCTTATACACATAGCAAGACCACGTAATTTGGGCCTTGTACATAAATGAAAATTTTCATTAATGAACATGCTAATTATTGTATGTTTTATATACACTTGTTTTTATCATTTTTTTGTTCATGTTTACCTGCTTCTGTGCTAATATCATGCATGTGCTGGAGATACATTTGTCTGTTAACTATGCATAGTTCTGCTGTTTGTGTATATGCTGATGTTTATTCATGCTTTGTTGTTATGGGGGTCCCCTTATGTTGTTATTGCTTTACTGTTATGCTTATTGGCTTGGATTCTCTGTATATGCCTGTATTGCTCTGATATGTGCGTGTAATATGTACTGCATGTAATTTAAGTCTGCAGTCACTGAAGCAGCATGCCAAATGATGCTTCACATTGTGTATACTGCTAATGTATATTTGCTGTGAATGGCACTCCAAGATGATTACCTGGGATTCCGAGTTAATCATCCATGTTCTAAGTGCTGATGTTTATTTTAACACTTGTGAGATATATTTGTAGAAATACATATATACATATACATCTACATATGTATATATACAGTGTATATATGTATCTAAATATATGTATGTATGTGTGTATTTCAAGTATCTAATAGCTGATTTTTTAAAGAGATTGTAAAACTTCTGACCCTAAAGAGGAATACAGCTCTGTCTTGGCCATTCCTCCTGCAAACTACCCCAAGGAGAACAGGACCCTAAAGGTAGAAATTTCCAAGCATCCTTCTCCTTGGTTCCCCTCACTCCCAACGAGTTTTTCCTCTGTTCTCAGACTTCGCAAAAGGGCTGACTTTGATACCGAAGCTCCCACCTCTGGACTTGTGGGAAAAGGAGGAGCTAGCTAAGGTAAAAACAGTGAAAAGACTCTGCCATCAGGGTTGGGCACAGGGACCCTGAAACCGAAGCAATATGGAAAAATCATGTGTAATATTCCATAAGGAATGTTAAGGTGGGTCCTGTGCTGCTGTAGTACATTTGGACTGGGAATCATACCCAGTGATCTCCATTTTCACCACCATCATCACCACCACCTTTGATTTCCTGCTTTCTCCCAAGAAGGCAAGTGCCCACTTCCAAGACTGATGTTTCCCCAAAGCTAGGGAAACTTTGTTTCTTAAAAGTGTGTTTACCCTTTTGTATTGAAAAGTTTACTTTGTTTTCCTAAGTATATGTTATAAACCTTTTCCTAGCTGATGGGAAAGAATTTAAGGCTGCTATAATTGCCAAAGCAAGATTTCTGGCTGAGCATTCAGAGTTTAAAGAGGAAGTTATGGATTCACTTTTACAACTTACCAGGGCAGAGAAAATGCTTCCACCGAGGTCTCTCTGGACAAGTGGGTCAGTATCTAGGTTGGGCTAACTGGTTGGGCATTAAGGCAGGTATATTAGCCATTATTATGGCTTAGTTTGAAAGGAAAATCATTTTCCTAGAGGAGAAGAGCTAAGGGAGTTGCTAGAAAGTATACTCCAAGGGAAGGAGTAACTCAGATGATTAAAATGTGGTAAGAAAATAAGGGTGTCAGCAAAAAAAAAAAAATTCTGTTCTTTAGGGAAGCTAGGTGGCACAGTGAATAGGGCTCCAGGCTTGGAGTCAGGAGGACCTGAGTTCAAATGTGACCTCAGACACTTGTCACTTAACTGGCTGCGTGACCCTGGGCAAGTCACTTAACCCAGACTGCCTCAGCAAAAAAAAAAAAGTTCTGAAAATAATGGTGACTTGAGAGTCCACACATGCCTGCTAATAAGCTGAGCATATACCAAGCTGCTATGGTTTCACTGAGATTTGTAAGCCCTTCTACTCACCTCTGCCAAGGAGATACAGATATGTGTGTATACACATGTGTGCACACATACATACATATATACATAAATATACACATATGTATGCACGTGTGTGTGTGTGTGTGTGTGTGTGTGTGTGTGTGTGTGTGTGTGTGCAGTAAGAATAAAGTCTATGGGCCAGAATGGAAATCTTGGACATATTATCATCCACCAACTAAAGAGGAACTTTGTTTTAAGGAGACAATGTTGCTTTACCCTTTGCTCTGGAGGAGAAATCTGAGAAAACAAGATGGGCAGAAAGAGGGGGGCATTGGATGAGGAAAACAGGAAACTGAGGAGAGAGGGGAAAAGACTTGGAAGAGAATTAGGGAACCAAGCATAGAGACAGCAGGGTTGGTGTCCAGCTCAAAGTTACCATCACCACCTCTGCCTGCCGTAGTCAATGCATCAGTCTGAGACCAAAAGAGAAAGGAGGGTCTAAGGCGGTCTCCCTTAGGGAGAAATGATACCAGATGGTGATTTGCCTGTACCTCACACCTCTCCTGCATCTCTCCCCTCTGTGGAAAGAACTAATGTTAAATCCAAAGCATGTCCTTTCTTTGAAGTTTCCTTTTTTACATTTATGTTTAATTAATACGGGATGTCAGCTTAAGGTAAAATATGATAGATCATAGCAACTTATTTGCATGAGTTTCACTCCTGGGAATAGAAAGCCAGAGAGGACAGTGACAGACAAGGTCTACAGAGAGAAGAGAGAGAAAATAAACTGTCAGAATTGTTGGAATTTTGTCCCAACTGGGGGCTCTAGAGCAAAATGAAAATCTTATTGATTTTTATTATTCTATAAATTCACACACACAAAAGCAGAGAAAAAGATCAAGTCATATGACTTCAGATCACTGACCCTAGCTAAGAGTAAACAGTTTTAACTGGTGCAAGGAGGCTCGGTCAGTAAGTTAGGAGCAGAAACTACTGCTGCCTTGGACAATTTTACTTTATCTTTTTTTCCCACTTTTTACATTTACATTACATTCACATTACAATTTTACTTTTCCATTGTTCTCTCTAGGCAGGTTCCAATGGCCATCAATAACCAACTCTCTTTCCACTATGTCTGAATGCCACATCTTTCATTTATTCCTACATGTATTATATTTATATTCTTATATTTCATTTATATTTACATTTGTCCTTGTTTCCCCTTTAGAACGGAAAGTCTTTGCAAATAGGGATTTTCACTTACTGCATTTATATCTATCTACGGCGCCTAGCAATGCCTGGCACATAGTAGGGACTTAATAAATGCTTATTGATTGATAAAGAGGGTCGCCTGAAGCCCTGAAAAATTAAGTAACTTGGGCGGCAGAAAACAAAATAAAAACAGTAATTTCAGGAGTGGAGGAAGGGCACCAGCAGCTGCTGGAGATTAAGGAAGGCCTTCCGCCGAGGAGCAAAGCGATTCCAGGAGGCAGAGGAGAGAAGAGTTAGCGCATTCGGGACACGGGGCCAGCCGGCGCCGCCGGGCATGGGTCCGGGTCGGGTGCTCCACGCCGGAGCCTCGTGGCTGTCCCGGGGAAGGGGCGGGCTCTGGATCCGGGGGGCTGGAAGGCGGGAGGCGTGGAGAGCCTCGCGGGCAGGGCCGGGGGCGTGGGCACGTCCCGGAAAAGTGCTGCGTCCCCGCCCCTCCGTCCCCGCCCCTGACAGCACCGCCCTTTTTAAGCCTTCCTCCGAGGCGCAAAGAGATGAGGTTAACTGCGCGACTCATGAAGGTGTTCATCACCCGGAGGATTCCCCCCGAGGGGCAGGCCCTGCTGGCCCAGGCCGGAATGTAAGAGGGGCGCCCCCGATCCCGACCCTCAGTCGCGCGCGACCCTCGAGTGCCCGGAGCCCATGCGCCCGGGAACATTCCTGGCAGCTGCTGGCGCGCGCCGGCCATGCGCCTGCAGACCCCGGGCCCCACCCGCGAGCCCCCTCGTGCCTCCCTCCCACGCCAGCCTTCTAGCCACCCTGGGCCCCATCCCACGCGTGTGCCTAAGGCTATGAACCCAGGACCCCGTCCCCTTCCCGAGCGCCGGAGCCCCACTCCACAAGCGTGCTTAATCCATGCACCCCGAGCGCTTGTCTGTCTCCTCGGGGCCCAGGGTGTCCTCACCTTGCCCGCCCCCCAGCCCTGCAGCTCCCGCCCCCACCCCCCGGCCTTCCCTGCTCCTCCCATGTCAGAGAGCTCAGTTGATCAACCCAAGGTCAAAGTCTCGGGACCCGAGTGTCAGCCTTGGTGCTGGTTTCTCTGCTTAAAGGGGCTGGACACCTGGAGGGGAAGGAGGGAAGGTGCAGGGGGCCCACGCTTCCCTGCTTGAGCAGTGGGATAAGAGCTGTCCAGGGTTTGGGGGAGAAGAGGAAGAAAGCTTAGGAAAACTAAGCAAGCCTGGGCACAGGAGGTGGAGGGAAAGGGAGGCGTCCTGCTGTGACACTGGAGCTGGCCACCCTGTTCCTGCTGCCACGCTTGTATTCGGAACCGTTTCTTCTTTACCCTCTGGGACCACTGTGGCTTTGCCTGGACAGCCTTTGAGTTACCACAGTGCCAACAACCAGTTTGGGTTTCTTTTGTCTTGTAGCTTCTGATGTTTTCAGCAAGCCTGAAGCTCCGAGCTTACACGCTCTGCTTGCTGTTAAGTGGCCCCCAGCAAGGCCTCGGAAGTATGGGAGATGTTAGGAAATACTACCTACGGCCATTCCAATCACAAGTCCACGGGACAGTCAAGAGACCTTAGAGATCTTGCTTGTGTGATCTTGGGCCTCAGTTTCCTCATCTGTAAAATGGAGGAGTTGAACTCCATACCCACTGGCTTCTCTCTCAACTCTAGATCATGGTTGTAAGATCCTATGATTTCTAATGTCTTCCTAAGACCTGCAAATCTAAGGGTCTGGTAGGTTATTTTGCTGTTTCTAGTGTGATAAGGCCACAAGACAGGGTAGCTCTAGGACTCAGGATTTCTGTTAAGTACCCTTTTAACCAGTTTACCCAGTCTAGGCTTATTATTTCTTGTTCTTTTGGTGCATTTTGAAAATCTTTTTAAAAAATTTTTTTAGTTGTAAATTTTTCTTCGTCTTGAAAAGGGCTGTGAAAGTAGAAGTGTGCATAGGTTTCTCTTCAACCAGGATAATTTTGTTGAGGTGCTTTACAAAACAGATATTTGTGGGCTTTCTGCTTGGTTTTGATGCCAACCCTATAACAGCACTTAGCTCCCAGGGTTGTTGTGAGGATCAGAAGAGCTACAGTTGGGGCTTTGCAAACCTTATGTTGTTTTCATTATTATCATAGCTCCTTCCTTGGAGCCATTGATCATCAGCTCCATCTCCTCCTCCTCCTCCTCTCTTTCCCCTCTACCCCCCATCCTGGATTAGGAGCCCAGGGTACATAAGTGACTGGCCCACCCTTTCTTTTCTGGTAAGTCATGCTGGGTAGTAAGCCTTTTTGATCTGTTTTATGTGGGTTTTCTTGCAGCTGAGATACCAGATTAACATTGTAAGTCATAGACTACGTCCTAATATTACCTTCTTAATGTTTGTTTTTGTTGAGTCATTTCAGTCGAGCTTGACTCTTCATGACAGCAATTGAGGTTTTTTTGGCAAAGATACTAGAATGGTTTGCCATTCTAGGCAAACAGGGTTAATTAAGTAATTTGTGCAGGGTAACACAGCTAGTAAGTGTCTGCGACTGGATTTGAATTCGGGTCCTCCTGACTCTAGGCCTGGCACTCTATCCACTGTGCCACCCGGCTGTCCAATGTCACCTTCACAAAAGGCAAAAAGTAAAATTGATTTTATTCTTTTGAGATTACCTTCCCCTCATGTCCTACTCTGCAGTCAATGACACAAGATAAAATTGGTTAATACTTTACTTATGGAGGTCAAAAAAAAAAAGCAAGGGAAGCAAGACAGTAAGTGGTCAGTCGAGCCGACTTGGTTTTTCGTGATCTTCCTTCTGAAAAGTTAAGACCTAGTTTGCACAGGTCTGCTCATCATACCTTGTTAAAATGTTCTAACAATAATTCTCATGTGAAGATAATACTTCACTACTCACCTCATAAGGTTGTGAAGAAACCTCAGTTTGTTACTGGCCCCAATACAGGCTGTACCTGGCTGCCAAAGGAAAAGAAAAGAATGTTACCAGTGAAGGTAATGAAGACAAAGAGCAGTGACAAGAAAAATGAATGAAACATTGAACTGAATAGACTTTAAATGTTTGTAGTAAATACATTTTAATATAATTTTATGTACATCAAATGAGATAATATCTGTAAAGTGCCAGGTACAGAATCTGGCATACAGTAATAAATGCTATTCCCTTCCTCCTTTCCACTCCTGTACGCCTAGCTCCTTACTCTTGGAAGCAGTGGCTAAGGGCTGGACTTGCAGTCATTAAAAATCTGGCTTCAAAGATTCAGACTTTGACACCAAAAAGGGAAAACTTCTCTGAGTTTCAGAAACCTTTAAGTCTAGTCTAGTAATTATATAAAAGGGTTAAGATTTGCTTTGGATGGCTAGGATATCACAGGTCCTTTGATATAATTTTGTATAATTATTTTTCAAGGAATATCTATTTTTTATTTTCAATGAGATCTCAGTTTAATGGCATGATATATTCAGACCAATAACAAGAGAAATAACCAGTAAAAAATTTTGGTGACTTTTGTAAGAGGCACATTGGAGGTACTAGACAACAACAACAACAAAAACTCATTTAAGGACAAAATAAAAGGTATTGAGGTTTTCTGATTTAATACCATGAAAATCCTTATAATAAAGGTGAATTTCTATCACTCCAAAGCAACAAATGCTGGTGAATTGCATTTGCCCCAACTAACATTACACAGCAAGAATGATGTCAAAGGACCAGGTTTAAAATAAAAAATATTAATTTACCTTTGTAAAGCACTCCACAGCTTTCAGAGTATGAACCATCTGTCCAGGCTGCAGACATTGCTTCAGATCATTCTCTCTGCATTCCACCATCTCCTTGCTCCATTCTCTGGTGCTCTCCCACCTAGGCCCTCCTGAGACCAGACCCCAGGGCACTTTGAACTCCCACCTCCAGGCTGTTCTCTTGAGCCTAGCTGGCAGCAGACTCCAGACCATCTACACCCTGTTCTCACTACTGCCCTAACCCTCTGCTTTCTACTCCTGGCTGTCAGAACTGTAATCAGATTAATGTTAGCATTGCTGCTCTGGAAAGGGAGTATCAATTGACTTCCCTATTATCTTAGACACCCACCATTCCTGTGATTTTGGAAATCCCTGGCTACCATTCTTCCATGGATATGTGGTCTTACTAGAATGTAAGTTCCTTGAGGGCAGGGACTTAGCAGACCCCTGGACTTATAATAAGCATCTAATATATGTTTTTCATCTGTTCATTCATTCATTATTTACTTATTTATTCATTGGTGAGGCAGTTGGGGTTAAGTGACTTGCTTAGGGTCACACAGCTAGTGAGTGTTGTGTGTCTGAGACTGGATTTGAACTCAGGTTCTCCTGACTCCAAGGCCCCTGCTCCATCCACTGTGCCACCTAACTACCCTTGTTCCTTCATTATTAAAAGGAGTCTGACTTGAGAGGGACATTAAGGTGGGGGTCCACGTTAGGTTTTTAGCAGCAGTTGGCATGCTTATGGAAATTTAAATCCTGTCCTGCCCAGAATGCTGGTAAGCCAGTGATAGAGAGCTCTATGACTCTTTCTAGGCTTGGGTGGCTCAATTACCATGGGCCTTTACATCCCTGGAAAGACCAAGGCATCATATTTGAGTGCCGCAGAAAGCCTCCTACGCTGTGCCAAGATATCCACGGGGATTTTTCCTCTTCAGCTGCCCCAGAATGAAAGTGAGAATCTTGGGGAACCTTAAACATCATCCAGCTGTGATGGAGTAGCTTGCTCAAGATCACATAATTTGTTAGGCCTAGAATCTGGACCAAGAGACTGCCCTTCTTCAGATTTTCCTTAGTTTTTCCAAAATGTTCCAGTCTCTGACCTTCAAAAGTCCAGATCCCTACAAACTAAAGAGGTAGTATTACAGAGTGGATAGAGCCCTTGACTTGGAGTGAGAAAAATCTGAGTTCAAATCTTGCCTTAGACACTAGATGAATAAACCTGGCCAAGTCACTTAATCTTTGTACCTCAGTTTCCTCATCTGTAAAACGAGGGGGATGAACTTGGTCTCTAAGATTCCCTCCTCATTTATATATAATATAAATTATATGTATGTAAGTTATACTATATACCATATATGAATTATATATAATAATCATAATTACTGTGACATCACCTTCACAGATTCCTTCTCCTTATTCAGCTGAAGTCCCCTCTTCTCCTGAGCCTCCCACAATTATCTCCCCCCCCATTCCCAGAAGCGTGATATAGGATTCTTTCCTCTATAATATATGTAGATAGGAGTTGAAAACAAGCAAGTTTTGGTCTTCCGGAAACTGGTAGCGGGCAAAAGACATGACTTTCTGCTCTGCCTCACCTCAGACATTGGAGATAAGTACCACTCAGTGACCAGGTATGTGTGGCATCCCTACATGGGTGCGAGGTCCTCCTGCCCAGACAAGTGACCTGACCCTAGAACTGCACCCTAGTCCTAATGCACCTTTAAGTGGCCTTCATTTAATAATGCAGAGGGTGTTATCCACTCAACTCTGAGAGGTCGGTGCTGTTATTTCTCCGTTTTACAGATGAGGAAAATAATGTATTTTTCACTCATTGAAAAATTGTTAAATAGATGTAATGTTCCATACCTGTGAATCCCCTCTCCATCCCTACCTCTACAAAGGGATTGGGGGAGTTGTCTTTTCATATCTCCTTGTCCTTTGTAATCTTGCAACATCTTTTTTTAATTATTGTTTTGTGGGGCTTATTCTTTCCATTGGTTTTGTTTGTGATGTATTGTTTTCTTGGCTCCGCTCTGCATCAGTTCATATAAATCTTCCCATGCATCTTCATCATAATTGGAACAACTGGCACCATGATGTTCCATTACGTTCATATACCATAAACATTTAATCACTCCCCAAGAGGCTTGGTTTTACTAGAATGGATCATAGCATAGTGGATAGACCATTGGACTCGGGAGTCAGGAAGATCAGTGTTCAAATCTTGCTTCAGACTCTACCTGTAGTGGCAATGGGCAAGTCACTAAATTTCTCTGGGCATTAGTTTCTTTACATGTGAAATAAGGGAGGGAAGGGGGTTAATTGCATAAAAATAATAATCAACAGTTTTATAGCATCTACTATGTGCCAGGCACTGTGTACGTTACAGATCTTCTTTCTTACAACAACTCTGGGAAGCAGGTGCTATTATTGTCCCCATTTTACAATCAATCAACATTTATTAAGCACCTACTATGTGCCAGTCATGTTGCTAATTAAGCACTTTACAAATCATCTCATTGACTCTTACAATAACCATTAGAGATAGGTGCTATTATTATTCCCATTTTCTACATGAGAAAACTGAGGCAAACAGAGGTTAAGTGACTTGCCCAGGGTCACACAGTTAGTAAAGTGTATGAGGTTGGATTTGAACTCAGATCTTCCTAACTCTAGGCTGGGTACTCTATCCACTGAGACACCTCAGACTACATCTAAGTCCTTCCTGGCACAGGTAGATGGTGCAGTAGATGGAGTACCTGGAGTCTGGATTTGAGCTCAGGTCTACCTAACACAGACTAGGTACTGTATCCACTGAGACACCTTAGATTACACCTAAGTCCTTTTGTGGTCCAGTGGATAGAGTACCGGATCTGGAGTCAAGAAGAGCTGAATTCAAATCCAGCCTCAGACACTTACTAGCTGTGTGACCCTGGGCAAATCTCTTAACCCCTATTTGCCTCAGTTCCTCATCTGTAAAATGGAACATACTAGATAAGAAAATAGCAAACCACTCCTCCTGTATCTTTGCCAAGAAAACCCCACGGATGTGGCTACATAGAGTCAGGCAATACCTGATCACCAGCAACAACAGCAACGCCCCTTCTTAAATCCAAGTCACTTAATGGCTCTGAGGTTCAGTTTCCTCATCTGTAAAATGGCAACACTAACAGCACCTCCGTCACAGAGCTACCGAGAATAGAGATAGAGCATGCTAGACGCTTTGCAAGCCTCATCAGTGTGAGCTGTTGTTATCAGTGACGGCCATGGCTGTGCTTGGGTGTTTTCTGAAGCCTGCACGGCCGTGGAGGATAGGCATTAACTGTGCTTTCTTCTTTCAGTTCTGAAGTAGAACAGTGGGAGTCAGATGAGCCCATACCGAGAGAGGACCTGCTGAAAGGAGTGGCTGGAGCGCATGGCATTCTTTGCCTTTTGTCTGACAGAATGGATAAACAACTCCTGGATGCCGCAGGTGTGTGATGGGGCCCCAGAGGAAGATTTCATACTGGAGCCTAAGGATCCTGGGCGTCTCTAGTGGAGTCTCTGTATATTTTGGGATTGGTGCCTGCTCCTAAGCCTTTATTTATTTTTTTTAAAATCAGTTCAATCCAACTTACTCTATGCCTACTTTCTGCTAGGTTGGCACTAGAGATAACCATCCCTTTCCTTAAGACCTGTACAGAAATATCCCCTCACTACAAGGGAGGGTCTGAGAACTGCAAAGAGGGTGGCCAGCTCATGATGGAAAATGCTATCCACATCCAAAGAAAGAACTATGGAGTTTGAATGCAGATCGAAGCACGCTGTTTGCTATTTTTTTTTCTTCTGTTGTGTTTTGTTTCCTTTTTCTGGTGGTTCCTCCTATTGGTTCTAATTCTTACTTACAACATCACTTATGTGAAAATATGCTTAATAGGAATGTATATGTATAGCCTATATCAGATTGCTCACTGTCTTGGGGAGGGAGGGACAGAAAAATTTAAAGCTCAAAAGCTTATGGAAGTGATTATTGATAAATCAGAATAAATTAATTTAAAAAAAAAGGTGGCCAGGCAGTGGGCTTCCATACCATGCACTTGGGGAGAAAGTGCTTTCAGTTGGTGGGATGGGACCTCAAGGAGGTGGCACCTGAATTGGACCCGCAAGGAGGAGAAGAAGGAAGGAACGAATGAGAGAAAGAATGGGAGAGGGAGGGAGTAACATCAACAGTAGAGATAAGGGGAGGAGGAAGAGTCCATGCCATGTGTAAGAATGCATGATCAAAAGCACAAAGATGGGTTTTTGCCGCAAGACAGAAAACAGTCTGATTTGACCTTGAGTCAGTAGGCATCTGCAACCTTTTTTTTTTTTAAAGGCACTCATTAATAAAGGGAACGTAAACTGCTACTTTGTAAACTAGAGCAAGTCACCTATAACATCTCCATACCTTACTTTGCTTTTCTATAAAATGAGGGAACTAGGTGAAATCGGAAATTCTTAACCTTTTTTGTGTCACGCAGCCCTTTGGCAGTCTGGAGAAGCCTATGGACCCCCTCTCAGAATGTTTTTAGGTGCATAAAATAAAATACACTTATTTTGAAATGAACATTAAAAAAAAACCCTCTTACTACAGAGTCTGAGTTAGGTTTGAGTTGTGACTCTGGCTGTGTAACAAAGAGCAGTCTGTGCCTTTGTTTCTTGATGGGTAAAATGAGGGTAATTTATGCCACCTAATTTGAAGAGTTGTTGTAAGGAAAGTCCTTTATAAATTATATAATCTTATAGCATTTACATTGAAATAAAGATGTAATTTTTCACAGACCCCCCCAATATGTGTGTCTATATATATATATGTAGATATATATGTGTATATACATGTGTGTGTTTATATATATATATATATATATATATATATATATATATATAAACACACACACACACACACATACATACATATATGGATATGGATGTATATAGACTTCAGATTAAGAAATCCTGGGCTAAATGACCCCTAACATCCTTTCTAGCTCTAAATCCTATAATCCTAAACCTGGTCTTGGTATGCACTGTGCCCTGCACAATGTAGGCCTTTAACAAATGTGGTAGCTGAATGCCAAGAGAAGGCCTTTGCACAGAAAAAACTGAATTGTGCCCAAAACAGCAAGAACAAAAGTCACATTTCCTGCAAGACCCGTTAGATTATATAACACCATCTTCTGTGGGAACTGTCAGAATTAATGCATAAGACATCTTAAATTCTATAAAGCAGAATGACTAATTTTTGGTTTCTTTCTACTTATCAGGATCCAATCTCAAAGTAGTCAGCACCCTCTCCGTGGGACTTGACCATCTTGCCCTAGATGAAATTAAAAAGCGGTAAATGCAGCCTTTTGTTTTTCGCTAAGGAGCATTAGGGACTGGAGGAGTTACTGGAGGGGAAAGAAGAGGATTCTTAATAATTCAGGCAAAAGGATTGACTTGGAAAGTGGAAGGATTTAGAAGAACTCTTGAAAAGAAAAGTAAAGGAATACTCTCTGTGGCGGTTATGGAAACTTTGCTTCTTGCATTCCTAGAGGGATCCGCGTGGGCTACACGCCAGACGTCCTGACAGATGCCACGGCAGAGCTCGCAGTGGCCTTACTGCTCAGCACCAGCCGCCGGCTGCCAGAAAGCATTCAAGAAGCAAAGAAGTGAGTATGAGTACTTTGGGAAGATTCAGAGCGGTCTATCATTTGTCTGGTTAATTCTACATTCTACACAGGCTGAGGCAGGGGTGGGGAACATGTGGCAGGATTTGAACTGAGGACTTCCTGACTCCATCTATCCACTGTGCCACCTAGCTGACCCTTAGGCATGATTAAGGGCTTCCATTTTTTACATATCCAATGCTTCAAAATGAATCTCTTCTACCTTGTTTCTAGGGATTTTCTGTCTGAAAATATTAAAGCCCTTGGTTTAATTTAGGTTGTCTTGGTTTTGGAAAATAAGTTTGGTGAGATAGAAAGCACTGGCCTTGAATCAGCAGACTTGGTTTTTGAGTCCCAGGTCATTACCTTTGTGACCTCGGGTAAGTCACCACACTTCTCCAAACCTCAGTCTCCTTATCCAAAAAATGGGGACATAATACTTTCAGTATCTACCTCATAAGGAGCAAGTGCTTTGTAAACCTTTAAGTATTATTTAAACAAAAGCTACTATTACTTTTTCACCCTTCATTTATGGCCATCTTCCTTATCCCTTCCCACACTGCCACTTAGGAGAATGTCATTGCGATTTACCAGAAGCAAGAACTGCCTCTCCCTTCAATTCATCTTGATAAATGTTTATTAAGCTCTTTTTTTTTATTTGTGGTGAGGCAGTTAGGGTTAAGTGACTTGCCCAGGGTCACACAGCTAGTAAGTGTCAAGTGTGTGAGGTCACATTTAAACTCAGGTCCTCCTGACTCCAAAGCCAGAGCTCTATCTACTGTACCACCTAGCTGCCCCCATTTATTAAGCTCTTGCTGTGTGCAAAGCATTGTTCAAAAATGGGGTGATTATGTTACATTTGTATTTTGGGGTGTCAGCTCCCCAACAAATTTGTAGGATTTTTCAGGTTAGGAACCACCCTGGAACCAAAGTTTCAGAAACCCTGTAACACTTTAGATGTTGCTTTACTCCCTGGGAGTGTTCAATAAATTAAGATGTGCCTGGAGTCAGAAATTTTTTATTGATTTGGTCAGTTGCCCATCTCCTACTTCTGTCTCCTACAAAATCAGTATCTTGCCCTAACAGGAAGTGGCCTAACTGTACCTCAGTGGTTTTTAAAGTACAGTCCATGGGCCTCTAGGTGTCCCTGAGTCCCTTTTAAAGGGTCCATGAGGTCAAAACTATTTTTGTAATTATACTAAGATGTTACTTGCCTCTGAAAATACTCCTGCCTTTTCTAATTGCATATATTTGAGTTTATTTTTTTGTTGGGTTTTTTTTTGGTGAGGCATTTGGGGTTAAGTGACTTGCCCAGGGTCACACAGCAAGTGAATATCATGTGTCTGAGGCCACATTTGAACTCAGATCTTCCTGACTCCAGGGCCAGTACTCTATCCACTGCGCCACCTAGCTGCCACTTTAATTTTTTTTTTTTTTGTGAGGCACTTGGGGTTAAGTGAGTTGCCCAGAGTCACACAACTAGTGAGTGTTATGTATCTGAGGCTGAATTTGAACTCAGGTCCTCCTGACTCCAGGGCCAGTACTCTATCCACTGCGCCACCTAGCTGCCCCTAACTACATACATGAGGGGGAGACCAAATTTTCTTCATATGTCAACTAGAATACAATAGATGGACTACAGAAACAGATATGAGAATCCAATTGTCTTCTTTTAAGCCAGACTTCTTGAAAAAAGAGATTTGCAAAAATGTGACATAATTCCACTTTCCTTACCAAATTTTCAGAAAATATGGTTATTTTTCATGTTTTGCATGACTTCATATTTATAAAATGGGCATCCTATTTCTTGCCTTCTCAATGGATGGGGGAGGAATAGAGGGAGGGAAAGAATTTGAAACAGGAAATAAAAATAAATTTTTTAAGAATGTAGTTATTTTTAAATAAAATGTTATTTATATTACATGTAATGGGGTTTTGTGTTAAGTTGCTTCAGTTGCGTCCAACTCTTCATGACCCCATTTGGGGTTTTCTTGGCAAAAACACTAAAGTGGTTTGCCATTTCCTGCTCCAGTTCATTTTATAGATGAGGAACTGAGGCAAACAGGGTTAAGTTTCTTGCTCAGGGTCACACAGCTAGGAAGTGTCTCAGGCCAGATTTGAACTCAGGAAGATGAGCCTTCCTGACCCCAGGCCTAACACTATCCACTGAGCCACCCGGCTTTCCATAATAGGTTTATATTGGTAAATATTTTAAAATTTTCTAAGTTCTAGTGTCTGAAATGGTAAATATCAATAGATATAACCAACATAAACAAAACCTTTTTGGGACCCTCAATAATTTTTCAGAATGAAGGTTCGTCCTGAAACCAAAAAGTTTCATGACCACTGATACAGAACAATTACTGATCGCCTAAATGCAAAGTCTCTTTGAGAGGTTGTGGGTATCTCCATCACTACTTATTACATTTTCTCTTTAGAGCCTAGAACTAGGAAGACTCATCTTCCTGAGTTCAAATCTGGCCTCAAGCAGTAACTAGCTGTGTGACCCTGAACAAGTCACTTAACACTGTTTGTGTCAGTTTCCTCATCTGTAAAATGAGCTGAGAAGGAGATGGCAAACCACTCCAGTGTCTTTGCCAAGAAAACCCCAAATGAAAACTGGAAAAGACTATGGCAGAAACTAGGCATAGACCAACACCTTAGACCAAAATAAAGTCAAAATGGGTACACAATTTGGATATAAAGGCTGACACTATAAGCAAATTGGGAGAGCAAGGAATAGTTTACTTGTCAGATTTATGGAGAACAGAAGAATTTATGACCAAACAAGAGATAGAGACCATTATGAAATCCAAAATGGATAATTTTGATTACATTAAATTGAAAAGTTTTTGCACAAACAAAGCCAATGTAACCAAGATTAGGAGGGAAGCAGAAAACTGGGAAAGAATTTTTACAACTAGTGTGTCTGATAAGGGCCTCATTTCTAATATAAAGAGAACTAAGTCAAATTTATAAGAATACAAGTCATTCCCCAATTGACAAATGGTCAAAGGATATGAAGAAGCAGTTTTCAGATGAAGAAATTAAAGCTATCCACAGTCAGATGAAAAAATGCTCTAAAATCACTTGATTAGAGAAATGCAAATGAAAACAACTCTGAGGTACTACATCACACCTATCAGATTGGCCAACATGACAAAACAGGAAAATGATAAATGTTGAAGATGTGGGAAAATTGGAAGACTAATGCATTGTTGGTGGAGTTGTGAAATGATCTGACCATTTTGGAGAACAGTTTGGAACTATGCCCAAAGGGCTATAAAAATGTGCATACCCTTTGACCCAGCAATAGCACTTCTAGGGCTGTATCCCAAAGAGATCATAAAAATGGGAAAAGGACCCACGTGTACAAAAATATAGCAACTCTTTCTGTGGTGGCAAAGAGTTGGAAATTGAGGGGATGCCATCAGTTGGGGAATGGCTGAACAAGTTGTGGTACATGAATGTAATGGAATATTATTGTGCTATAAGAAATGATGAGTAGGCAGACTTCAGAAAAATCTGGAAAGACTTGTATGGACTGATGCTGAGTGAAGTGAGCAGAGCCAAGAGAACATTGTACACAGTAACAGCCACATTGTGCGATGACTAATATTGATAGACTTAACCCTTCCCAGCAATATAAGGATCTAAGACATTTCCAAAGGTCTCATGATGGAAAATGCTATCCACAACCAAAGAAAGAACTATGGCGTTTGAATACAGATTAAAGTGTACTATTTGCTCTTTTTTTTCCCCTTCTGTTTTGGTTTCCTCTTTCTGGTGGTTCCTCCTATTGGTTCTAATTCTTCCTTACAACATCACTAATGTGAACATATGTTTAATAGGAATGTATATGTAGAGCCTATATCAGATTGCATGCCATCTTGGTGAGGGAGGGGGAGAAAATTTAAAACCCCAAAACTTATGGAAGTGATTGTTGAAAACTAAAAATAAATTAATAAAAAAAAGTTTGAAATTTAAAAAAAGAAAAAGAAAACCTCAAATGGGGTCGTGAAGAATTGGACATGACTGAAAAAAATGACCAAACAACACACTTGAGTTATAATATTGAACTCCTGCCACAATATTTCAGTCTTTTCTTTTTATTCCAGTGGTGGCTGGACTTCATGGAAGCCTCTCTGGATGTGTGGCTACCAGCTCTTGAACAGCACAGTTGGAATTATCGGCCTGGGAAGAATAGGTAACATCTCTTTTCTGCATTTTATAACATTGGTTGGAATTTAAGACATACACAGTAGCTACTGTCTGTCTGAAACAGTGCTGAGTGATCCTTTTGTTGTTATTCAGTTGTTTTAGTCGTGTCCGACTCTTCGTGACGCCATTTGGGGTTTTCTTGGCAAAGATACTAGAAACAGATTCCTTCCCCAGCTCATTTTACAGATGAGGAAACTGAGGCAAAGAAGGTGAAGTGACTTGCCCAGGGTCACACAGCTAGTAAGTGTCTGAGACCAGACTTGAATTCAGGAAGATGAGTCTTCCTGACTCCAGGCACAGTGCTCTATCCACTGAGTCACCTAGCTGCCCCTAGGGGGGAATGAGTAAATAGGTAGAAATCAGTAAAGTAAACCTTTATGGGGTGGTGACAATATAGAATGTAGAACAGGAGCAGCCCATTTCACCCAGGCAACTAAAATGTAATCCTTTGCATTATCTTGTTTCTGATTTTAAAAAATTAAACAGACAAACAAAAAACCCTAAGGGCTTAAAAAAATTACAATGTAAAGCATCCAAAGAAGTATTTAGTCCTAGTGAAGAAAAGCAAAGGATTCTATCCTGGCCTGGAGCTTCAATTCACCAAGGAAAGCTCATGTCTCCCCCTTTGATATGGTGAAAACAAAGGAACACAAGCCTTGGGTCCAGACGGTGGCTCCCATATTTACAAACTCTGTGATCAGCTTTTCTGTTTTTTGCCTGTGAAATGGGGAAAACAAACAGCACTGGATTTTTATGACCTGGATTTGAATCCCAGATCTGAGGTTTACTACCTATGTGACTTCTGGGGAATCGCTTTCTCCCCTGGTGCCAGTTCTGCAGGCATAGGAGCACGCATTTACTCATCTGTAAAGGGAGGCAGCTGTACTAGACTTTTCAAGTCTGGAGGGAGGGGAGTTAAGGGCACAGCATCCCCTGGAAAATCTGGGTAAAAAAAATCCCTTCATACCAGAGAAGAAGTCTGAATTATTATTATGGTATTAAAAGATAAAATATGTTGACGCTATATAATATTATACATATATTTTATGCATTTCTGAGTTTCTAAATTTTTTCTGTGTCATTTGCTGATCATGTTGTCTGTGGCTTCTGCAAAACTCCCCCAAATTCCCTTTTAATTTCTTATGTCAACCCATGACATACCAAAACCGCGATGGGGAAAGTCATGTTGTGGAAGGGATAACTGTACTCCTATTGCACCTGTTTGGACATACTTCTTTCCAAATGTTTTTCTCTCTCTCAAGTACAGCTGATTCTATTATCCAAAGGGATTTAGAGCTTGTTTTGGTGGGAAAAACAAATGACCAACACTAACCAGGAGACAGCATTTCTTGGGCTCAGCAATCAGCCCACATCTTTTCTCTAATTAATGAAGAGCTAAATGATGATGAGTCTACCTAATGTTCCCTCTTCTCCCAGGGTCAAGGGAGCAAACACACTGACTCCTCCCTGGCATCCCCAGGGTGGGTGGGGTGAATGGGACAGAATCACATGAATGCTGTTTTCTCATTTTCAGGCCAAGGTATTGCCCGTCGCCTAAAACCATTTGGCGTCCAGAAATTTTTATATACTGGACGTCAGCCCAGACCCAAGGAGGCAGCCGAGTTCCAAGCAGAGTTTGGTAAGTGAGGCATTCATTTAAAAGGCAGTTCAGCATATGCTCAGGTTGTTTCTGATTTCTGTCATGATAAATCCTGCAAATGACAACTACTCAGGTCAGCTTTTGTTCACTATTTACTCCAGGAGCCTTTTTTTTGGGGGGGGGATTTTTTTTTTATGAGGGCAATTGGGGTTAAGTGACTTGCCCAGAGTCACACAGCTAATGAGTGTTATGTGTCTGAGGTTGGATTTGAACTAAGGTCCTTCTGACTCCAGGGCCGTACTCTATCCATTGCCCCACCTAGCTGCCCTTAGGAGGTTTTTTTTTTTAGTTCATTAATTTATTTTTAGTTTTCATCATTCATTCCCATAAGGTTTTGAGTTTTAAATTTTCTCCTCCCTCCCCAAGACTGCATGCAATCTGATATAGGCTCTACATATACATTCCTATTAAACATATTTTCACATTAATCATGTTGTAAAGAAGACTTAGAACCAATAGGAGGAACCACAAGAAAGAAGAAGCAAAACAAAAGGGAAAAAAAAAGAGCAAATCATGTGCTTTGATCTGCATTCCAGCTCCATAGTTCTTTCTCTGGATGTGGATAGCATTTTCCATCATGAGATTTTTGGAGATGTCGTAGATCCTTGCATTTCTGAAAAGAGATAAGTCTATCAACGTTAGTCATCGCACAATGTGGCTATTACTGTGTACAAGTTCTCCTAGATGCCTTTTTAAAAAAACATAATAGGGCACCTACATGGTTCGGTGGATAGAGCTTCGGCCGTGGAATCAGGAGGACCTGAGTTCAAATCCAGCCTCAGACACTTGACACTTACTAGCTATGTGACCCTGGGCAAGTCACTTAACCCCAATTGCTTCACGAAAACAAAACCAAAAAAACAAACAAACCCCATGATACAATAGAGAGAAATATGGCTATAGTGTATAGAAAGGTGGCCTTGAGGCTGGGAAGCCTGGGTTCATGTCCTGATTCTGACACATCCAGGTCTTAAATAATTCTCTACAACAGAAACAGTTGCCAATCTTCATTGAAAGGGGATACTTGCTCGCCAGTTAGTTACCAGTACCAGTGTGATCACCAGTCTGGACTTGGAAAAAACCATTTACTATAAAAAGACTTTGGTTTAGTGGTGGTTCTAGCAGTGTGACATGGGGCGTAGTTTGAGCCTTTGCTGGGATACTGTTTGTAGGGTTGTCGTGAGGAAAGCACTTTATAAATCATATAATTGTGACCTGTGATTGGGTGTGAGGAATCTGAGTGGTGTCCAAGGCGTGATAAACTTTTATGTACTGATTTCTTTGTCCTTGACCTCCATTTTCTCATCACCCTAGACTTTTCCAACTACAAGTGACAGAATCATCTAGTTTAATGCTCTCATTTCACAGATACAAAGATCGGATCAGCCCTCTCCATCCTGTTTACTTCATCTATAAAATGAGGGGGCTAGGCTAGCCAGTTTCTGAGGTACCTTCTTCCTCTAAGATTCAGTGAACTAATATTTTTTTTTAATTATTTTTAGGCAGTTGGGGTTAAGTGACTTGCCCAGGGTCACACAGCTAGTAAGTGTGTCAAGTGTTTGGTCTGAGGTCGTATTTGAACTCAGGTCCTCCTGACTTCAAGGGCCAGTGCTCTATCCACTGTGTCAGTGAACTAATATTAACGATTTTTAAAATAATTACAAAGTACAAATGGAAAAATCCAGACAGGTGAAGTGACCTTGGTTAAAGTCTCGGAGTTCGTTAACAACAAAGACAGTCAAGAAATACTCATTAAGCACCTACTATGTGCCAGGCATTATGCAGTAGCTCCCAGTAGGGTACCGTGTCAAACCGGGTGAAAAAGCAGTGTGATGAAATGGAAATAACCCCAGATTTGGGGTGGGAAGACCTGGCTAGACTTCCAGCCCTGCTGTTTACTGTTCATGGGACCGTGATTAAATTGCACGGTGCCTCCTTTCTCCATTTCTGGAGAGGCTGGGCAGTCGAGTGGCACAGCAGATAGAGCACCAGCACCGGTCAGGAGGACCTCAGTTCAAATCCAGCCACAGACACGTACTAGCTGTGTGACCCTGAGCAAGTCCCTTCACCCTTCCGCCTCAGTTTCTCATCTGTAAAATGAGCTGGAGAAGGGAATGGCGAACCACCGCAGCATCTCTGCCAGGAATACCTCAGAACGGGTTGTGAAACTACAACCTGACGCAGCTGCGTGTGGCCTGTAACCGGTTCTAGCTCTAATCTGGATGATCCTGATTGATGAGTAACAAATGAAAGCAGGCCCTTTGCAGCGTGTTGCCCTTAGGATGTCGTTCCTCACTTGGGAGTTGACTGTTCTTTGAAGTAAAATGTGAGAAGAAAGGCAGAACTCTCCTCCGCCCCATCTCTGAAAGCTCGGGGTGCCCTCCCCCCTCTTGCTGATATTTTTAAAATTCTATTTGTCAGACAGCTTGGGCGTGCCTTTTTTTTTCTTTTTAAACTTATTTTTGTCCTTCCGAAGAGATTTTAGGTTAGATGGCTGTGAGGTTTGGCATCTTCACAAGGGCATTTTTTCCCCTGCCTTGACTATAGGGGATATTTCAGTCTGTGTCTCAGCCCTTAGTGGAGAAAGATGGTGCCAGACATATCAGTTCTGAGATAGAGTCTGTGAAGAATTCCCTCCTTAGGGGCCTTCTGAGGCCTGGGGAGGGGGGGGAATGTTGATGAATTCAGTTCAACAACCCTCTAGGTATAAAGCAATGTATTAGGTGCTGGGGTTGTAAAAGTAAAAAAAAAAAAATAACAGTTCCTGCCCTCAAGGAGCTTACATTCTACTGAGGGGATACAACATGTCCACAAGTAAGTAAATACAAAGTATGGACAAAATTATACCAGTAATTTCAAGTGGGAGAGGGAGCTAATTCAATAACTGAGATCGAGAAAGACCTAGAGTAGGAGGTAGCCCCTGAACTGTGCTTTGAAGGAAGCCAGAAATCTAGTATCATCATCATAATAAATTGTAACAATATATTAAAATAATATACTATTCTGTTGACTATAACTAATTGCACTTTTTGTAATTTATAAATTATTTACAAATGTTTAATTATTATGATATTATTTTGGGAGTGGGGAAAGGCAATTGGGAGTAAGTGACTTACCCAGGATCACACAGCTAGTGTCTAGTGTCTGAGACTGGATTTGAACTCAGGTTCTCCCGACTCCAGGGTCGGTGCTCTATTCTCTGTGCCACTAGCTGCCTCATGATATGTTATTAGTATAGCAAAGATTTATAATTGCATTTACTATATGCCAAGCCCTATGCTTAAACACTTTTAAATTATTATCTTATTTGATCCTCATAACAACCCTAGGAGGTAAGTGCTATTATTATTCCTATTTTATGAATGAGGAAACTGAGACACAGGTTAAGTGACTTGCCCAGGTTCACACAGCTGATTAGTGTCTGAGACCAGATTTGTACCCAGGTCTTCCTGACTCCAGGCCGGTACTAAAATCTTTGGATAATTTTAATCAAAAAAAATTATCTTGGACTGAACTTTCCCAAAAGCATTTCAATTCTAAGTCATTCTATGCCCATGAAACCCAGGCCAGGGGTGGGGAAACTTCAGTTTTGAGGCTACATGTGGTCTTCTAGGTCCTCAGGTGCAGCCTTTTGACTGAGTCCAAGTTGTACAGAACAAATCCTTTTATTAAGGGGGGATTTGGTCTGTGAAGTTTGAGGACCTAGAGGGCCACATGTGGCCTCGAGGCCGCAGGTTCCCCACCCTTGGTCTAGGCTCTTCAATGTGAAATGATATTATGATTAAATCAGTAGACGTTAGAGCAAGACAGAACCTTAGATATTTGATCCAACTCCCTGTCATTCATTTTTACACAGATGGAAACTGAGGCCCAGAGGGCATGAGTGATTTGCCTAAGGTCACACAGGGATAGCAAGTAGTAAAATTTGAACCCAGATCTTTTGTCTTTAAATACTCTAGTGCTTTTTCTACTATGTCACATGTTTAAGAAGTATATCTTTTAGTTATTTCACATACTTTGGCTGTCTCAGCCTCTACACACAAAAGCATCTTGAAATTCCTATTGTTTCATGCCTCAAATTTTTTTGTTTCCCCAACACATCCTTTACTTTTCAGTCTCCATGTCTAAATATCTTCCCTCTACATTTTGGCAAAATAAATTTCAGTTTCCTCTTCACAAGTTTTTATAGGTTGTATGAAAAGAAAACATTTTGACTAACATTTTGTAACAATGTTGCAAGTATAAATGGATTTCTCACAGAATTGTAAACATTTTCACACTTGTCAGTCTTTTAAGGAAAGTGCTTCTCTGATAATTATCTGCCATCCTAATGTCTTTATAAAATGTGGGATTTATTCTCCCAACCTACATGCACACTACCAGGTTGGTTTCCCACTGCATAGCTGGCTAAATATTTCCTCCTCTCCCCCCCCCCCAAGGCACTAAGTCATGTCAAAATTCTGACTTGCCTGTTGACCTGCTTTTAGTCTGATTTTTTTTTAAGGCACTCAGGATTAGGTAACTTGGCCAGGGTCACACAGCTACTAAGTGTCTGAGGTCAAATTTGAACTCAGGTCCTTCTGACTCCAGGGCTGGTGTTCTATCCACTGCGCCACCTAGCTCTCCCTAGTCTGATTCTTTTAGTGGATTTTCCCACACCCCCTCCCCCAATGTCCTGGAAACTGTACTAATTTTAATTTGCAAGGCTAATGTAATCATTTCTAAAAAGGGAAAACTAGGCCCTTCTAAGATGACTTTTGATAGGAGAGATAAGTGCATCAAAGCCTTGGTTCCTGTTCTTTTGGGAGCGATTTTCATTCTTTTCCTTGTTCTGTTCCTATGCCACTGATCTCTCCCTCCCCCCATTCTTTCCTTAAGTTCCTCTTGAGCAGCTAGCAACCCATTCAGACTTCGTTGTGGTAGCTTGTGCTTTAACCCCTGAAACCCAGGAGCTCTGCAACAAGAACTTCTTCCAGAAAATGAAGAAAACGGCTGTGTTTGTCAACATAAGCAGGTAAGTAAGGCTTACGATCTAGTGGTTTAAAAAAAAAAGATACCACTATGCTTTTCTGATTTTTGATTTCACATTTTCAGTGCTACTGAAACCTGTTTGAACATGTGTTTCTTTCTTTGAACCAAGACAAAGAGAAAATCAGAAATAAAACGAAGGCCATGATCTCGGTTTGATTCTGGAAAAAAAAAATTAAATCTCAACTGGAATATATCATATTCCCTGGGAGAAGGAAGCCTTAATTGTAGGCTTTAAACATTTGCATAATCTAGCTAGTCTCAGCAGAAGCGAACAAGACATACCTCTGAAGAAAGCTTTGCTGATTATTTTGTAGCACAGAAAATAGGGTGGGTTTGAATCCCTCCTGAAACACTTAGTAGCTGTGTGACCTTGGGCAAGTCCCTAACCTCTTAGCCTTGAGATTTATCATCTATAAAATATAGATGGTAACAGCCCTTAATTTGCAGGTTTTCTGTGAGAATCAATAGAAACAATATATGCAAAATGCTTTTGCAAACCTTACAGTGGTAAACGAACATTAGCTATTATTCTTATTTGTAGGAGTGATGGTGACAATTTCTGGCATTGCTTACGGAAAGATTAAGATGATTTTTCCACCAGGGGGAGTCTTGCTGTGTTGTAGAAGGTCTTCTGCTACTTCTTATTAAATGGCCAATCATTTAACAACCAAAATCCCTCCTCTTATGCTTCCAAAAATCCTAGAGAGGTCAGGGGATCTACCAAGTCAGGTGCACAAGAGATGCTCCAAATCTCTTAACTGCAGAGTTTCTGACTCTGAAACTTTTTTTATTGTTCAGTTATTTTCAGTCCTGTCCAATTCTTCGTGACTCTATTTGGGGTTTTCTTGGCAAAGATACTGGAGTGGTTTGCCACTTCCTTCTCCAGCTCATTTTACAGATGAGGAAACTGAGGCAAACAGGGTGAAGTGACTTGCCCAGGCTCACACAGCTAGTATGAGTCTGAGACTGGATTTGAACTCAGGTCTTCTGACTCCAGGGCTTCTGCACCACTGCAAGTAGCTCACAAAGCTAGACAATTTAGTGTTACACTTAGCATGGACTCCTCGTGGGGAATTGGGGGGTTTTTTGTTTTGTTTTTGGGAGTGGAGCTTGTGGGGTTTGCTGTTGTTGTTGTTGTTGTTGTTTTTAACAAAATCCAAAAGAGGCTGTTGTATTCTTTATTGGATAATATACCAAAGTACTGTTCTAATTCCTACGGCTCCCAGGGGAGATGTGGTGAACCAGGAAGACCTTTACCAGGCCTTGGCTAATGACCAGATTGCAGCAGCTGGGCTAGATGTCACAAGCCCTGAGCCCCTGCCCACAAACCATCCTCTCTTTTCACTGAAGAACTGTGGTAAGACACTGGTTTTTAAAATGTGAGCTGACTCTGTACTCCTCAAAGTAGAGAGGTGGGGAAGGGACTACAGGGACAGAATGAGATATATCATATCAAATAAAGTCATGTTGTTGGCTAGTTTTGCTTAAAGGCATATGGGAAAGTAATTGGTGCTTAAAAAAAGATAATTTTTTTAAATGTAAGGTTATTTTTACCTTTAATTTAAAACCACTAGAGAAGTCCAAATTTCTAGACTATTAAGCTGTTTCTTTAAACAAAAACTTATTCCTCAGAACAGTACCTAAAAGTAAGCATAATTTTAGTTTCTGGAAACCTAAAGGCCATTGTGGAATCACTGAGTGGGTTATTTACCCTACTTTGGGAAAGGAATAACCCTTTGTCTCTTGAAGCGACAAGCAACATACCTGGGGTTCTCTAAAGAGTATAGAGAGACATCTATCCGAGATAAAGATCTTTAATCAGTGGAAGCCAAAGCAATATTCATCAAGCTAGAAACAAGTTTTTGCATTATATGAAAACTGCCTGCAGTAGTATCTCCAAGAGGAGAGATAACATATCATTTTCTTTAAAACTTCACCAGTCTTATAAATAACTGTATGTCCACTGGTGAGAAGAGATTTTTCAGCTTATATTTTTAGAAAGGTAATTTAACTGATGGTGCTTTACTTGGAAAATATGGTGCCTTGTGCTCTGAAGTTTTTTTATGCTTTTGAAGTAACTTCCTGAGTAAGATCAATAACAGACATTAGTAGTGAAAATGGTGTTCTGGTCCATTCGTCCACGAATAATCAGGAATTATCTGTGAATCTTATCAAGGTTGGGCCATGACCCTGGTTCCATCTTCTCTTAGCCAGTCCTGATAATGGTTACTTTAACATACAGAAAGACTGCTTAAATGTTCATCTACTGACAATGTATCCTACCATTAACTCTGCAGGTAAAACATTAAAGACAAACAATTTTAAATAAGTCATGCAGGTCGTGTTTTACCTTTTTTTTTTTAAACTATAATCAATAGATTATGTTGTATTTAACTCGTGGAGTTGTCAGCTGTTGTTTGTCCTTTGTTTTCGAAGAGAACCACGACATCAGGAAGATGATGCCATGACATGCAAGTGAATTGGATTAAAGTGAGGGAGGGCTGTGCAAAGTCATCAGCCTCACTTTCTTCTCCGGAGCCATCTGGGTCCAAAAATATAGATCAGGCCACCTGGAGATGGCCCCCAGTTGTCAGCTAAACTGTTGGTGAAAGTATTGTCCTTAATTCCATAAAGACCTTGCCCCAGTTGACTGATGCTCACTAGATCAGTGCCAGTGACTGTAGGTTTAAATATACTGCAATAAGTATATATAAAAGCATTTTGAAAATTTAAAGTGCTATACAAATATAACATTCTTTTTCATTTAGGGTCATTGCCTTAAATAGTAGATGTTTATTACCAAGTACCGTATTCACACGTATGCTTTCTTGCTATAGGCATCATTATATTTGGCACTGCCTTTGAATCAGTCCTTAAAATGAGAAGTAGTATATTCCAAGAGTATAATTTTCCATAAGCATTCTAATTACATTGGACTTTTTGACATCCCTTTGGTAAGGAGCCATCAACTTGTGTTGAGAATTTAAGCCTAGAATTTGAGCCTAATGGCTCAAAGATTATTTAGTCCATTTCTCCAAACTGCATTTCTGTTACCATGATAGTAGTTGGTGAAATGATGTGAGGCCAAAAAGAAAAATTATCAATAGATAATATATAGTTGTAATGGTCCTCATTTTACTAGCCAGAAAATCTATTCAGTTGAATTCTAGGTAAATATTAAGTTGTTACACTTTTTCTGCCATTTCCTGATCACCCTCTCTTTCCTTTACAGTGATTCTACCACATATTGGAAGTGCTACTTATGGAACCCGAAACACTATGTCAGTAATTGCAGTCAATAACATGTTGGCTGGCCTAAAGGGGGAGCCAATGCCAAGTGAATTCAAACTGTGAAGACGAAACAAGAAGAATCTCACAATTGAGGAAGAATTAATAAGATAATTATTATATTTTCACTTCTGCTAAACAGAAGTGTGTTACTTTCACTGGAATGTGTATGCTGTCATAAATAAAACAAACAGTGGGGAACCATCTCATACATGAAAAGTGCCTAAGAATAACATTTACTTTGTGATTATCTATAATTTAGGAAACAAAGGTGTCAATGGCTATGCAACTTTTGTTGATGAATGTTATCTAGTCTAAATTAAATTTAAAAGATAACCATTGAGTTACTTAATATGTCTCTATCTAACTAAATATGAATATTTGCTTACCTCTTATGACAGAATCCCATGGTTAAAAGAGTCCATCTTGTTAAATACCTGAAAAAGAAATCCCACTTCAACACACCCAATATGTAGTCATCCAGTTTTACCTTGAAAATCTCCACTTATGTGTGCGTGCCCTTTATCAGGGTTGTGATCATAGCATTGTTCCCTATCGTCCAAGACAACTGCTTCGACTTTTAGAGAGCACTGAGTTTTTCCTCACATCAAGGTCAAATTTGTGTCTTTGAAATTTCCACCTATTGCTCCTAGCTAAATATCCTCTGAAGCAAAGCAGAACCAATTTCATTCATCTTCTGAGTGATGCCCTTTCACATAATTGGGGGAACTGCCATGTCCTCCCCCCCAAATCCCTCCTTTAGGCTAAATAACCCTACTTTCTTCAGTCTTCACATCCAATGAACTTCAGAGCTTTCACAATCTTGGTTACCTTTTTTTCTGGACACATACATTAGAGACCACAGTAACTTCACATCTCTGAGTTTTAGTATGAATTTATGTCAGTCACTAAGCTTTTGTAGTCATTGATTTATTTTTATGGCAGCTTCCACATCCTCATTTATAAAGGTAAAGCAGTACAGATTTAACTTCTTTATCCATAGATTTCTGAAAATATCTGACCAAAGTAGACCCACCACCCTAACATAAAAATAGACCTTTATGTACTGCATGAACTAGTGGCCTGCATGAATGGTTTCTAATTCTTTATCTCTCATCGTTTGCCATATGGCTTCCCACACCAAGACATTTTACCAAAATTAATCATAATGCAAAGAGCAAAGATTCTGAGTCAGAAGTCTGGATCTGACTCCTAATTCTGCTAGTAAACCCCTACACCTTGGACAAAAAGCCAAATCACCCCTCTGGTCCTCAAGTTTCTTCTCTATAAAATGGGAGATTGGAGATCATCTCTCAGGCTCCTTCCAGCTCTTACCAATTGTCATCTTGAAGGTACTAATGTCCTTAGTCATTCAAAAGATTTTTTTCTCAATATTCACCTTAACCTCAATACAGTATTTGACACTTAAAAAAAAACACCCCTTACCTTAAATTCTTTATTCTCTTGGCAGCCATGCCATCTTGGTTTTCTTTCATCTCTAATTCTTTTTTCATACCTGTTGAAATAGCCCCCTAATTACCCAAATCTCATCTATCAGATGGTACAGCAAAACCTGCATTTGGGCTAGGTTAGGAATCCTAGACAAAGGCTATACAACCACAGAGGTTATTTAATCTCATTATGCTTAAGGTTCATTAATTGCAAAAATGAAGAAACTACTAGATGATCACTAAGGTTCCTTACAGCTGTCTCAGGAAATCATTCCATCCCATCTCCTCCATGAAGTTTTACCTCCCTACTTTGAAATCCCTTATTATCAATTTACTCATTGATTTAATATAACTTGTGTTTATCATCTACAAGGCCTTCTGTTAAGCATTAGCTTCAAAGTGTTAAGTTATAGCCCCTGGTCTCCAGGATCTTTTATTCTAAATGAGGACACAAATACCTACAGCTCAAAAGGGTACATAATAAATATCATGCATGAGTGGTACTGATGACCTGTAATGAGTTTAAAGCCAAACAATCACCCCTAACTGGGGTGATTAGAGATTTCATGGAGAATCTAAGTTTGACCTGCATTAACGGAATGGTAGGATTCAAACAGAAGTGAAGACATTCTGGGCAAGGGTATAACATAAATGAAACTGGAAGAATGGTTCAGGAAATAATAAATTTGTCTGGAGCAAATGGTTCATGTAAGGGAATAATGGAAGAGAAGTGTATAAATAGAAGTTAGATTGTAGACAACCTTGGATATCAAGCTAAAAAGTATCAACTTAATCCTATAGGCAACTTGAGAACCACTAAAAAGTTTTGGAATGAGAAAGCAATTTGCTGCAAGATGAGTTTTATGAAAACTGACTTCAGGGCAATGCATATGATGCTTTTGAGTTAAGATGTGTATGGGACTTTATCCTGAATGCAATGAAAGCCACTGCAAGGTTTTGAACAAAAAAATAACATGAAGGACATGCTATACGAAAACTAGACAAGTGGCAGTGCATATGATAGATTGGATGGAGATACTGCTTTGCTCCAAGCATAAGGTAGTACACTAGACTGACAACAATGAAAATAAACTTGAGCCATTGTGAAGCAATAGGACTGTATTCATTTGATATTTAATCCCATATGACCATATAACTCTCCTAGTATTGCTATCATATGTTAACTCTTGAAGTGTGGTGCTTAATAAATGTTTTTTGATTACTGACGTCCTTGAAGGCAAGAAATGTGAATTATAATTGCTTGTAACTTTCACAGGAACCAGAACAAGGGCTATCTATGCACTTCATAGATAAATTTAAAACAATTTTTAAAGAACATTTTTTAAATTACAAAAATGTAAAATAAAATTCTGTCCTTGTCCTGGTGACATTGTAAGAAAAGGTCTTCTTTTCTCAGTTATTGCTGGTTGTTTTTTTTTGGCGGGGGGGAGGTTAGTCTTTTGTAAGGCATGAAGCAATGACAACAGATTAGAGTATAAAGGAAGGTCAGCCCAAGATGAGTAGGAAGGACTAAGAAAAGAAACATACAAGCACAAATAGTGCCAATGGGGAAGAAGAGGAAGCATCTAAAGAGAATAGTGCTGCCCAAGCTCTCCAGTTGAGCTGAGGGCAAAACCTGCCTCTTCTGAACTTTCCTGCTTCCATCATGGACACCACCATTCTTCTGGTCACTCAGTTTTGCAACTTCCAAGTTTATCCTTGGCTCCTCACTCGCCTTCACCCCACATATGTAACCAATTGCCAAATCTTGCCATTTCATTATCTCCCCCCAAAAAAAAAAACAGAAAAGGCTCTTACAGTGGAGGGGAAATGGGGGAAGATGAGAGGGAATGAGTGAATGCTATTCTCACAGGATTTGGCTTAAAGAGGGAATAACATACACATTCAATCGGGTATGGAAATCTGTCTTAGGGGGAGAAGGAGACAAGAGAGCAAGGGGATGATAGAGAGAAGGGCTGACTGGGAAAGGGGGTAATCAGAAGCAAATACTTCTGAGGAGGGACAGGGTCAAAAGAAAGAATAGAATAAATTGGGGGGCAGGATAGGATTAAGGGAAATAGAGTTAGTTTTCACAACATGTCTACTAAGGAAGTGTTTTGCATAACTGCACATGTATAACCTATGTTGAGTTGCTTGCCTTTTCAGTGAGGGTGGGTGGGGAGCGAGGAAGGGAGAAAATTTGGAACCCAAAGTTTAAAAAAAATGTTTTCAAATGCAACTGGGAAATAAGAAATACAGGAAATGGGGTACAGAAGTCTATTCTGCCCTACAGCAAAAAAGAAGGGGAAGGGGATAACAGAAGGGGGGGGAGATAGAAGAGAGGGCAGACTAGGAGAAGGGGTATTCAGAATACATGCCATCTTGGGGTGGGGGGAGGGGTGAGATGAGGTGAAAATTGGAACTCAAAATCTTGTGGAAGTAAATGTTGAAAACTAAAAATAAATTTATATTAAAAATTAAACAATTAAAAAAAAACAAAAACAAAAAACAAATCTTGCCATTTCAACTTCTACATCTCTCAGGCCTGTTTCCTTCTCTCTACTCATGGCTACTGCCCTATTTCAGGTCTTCATCACATCTCACCTGAACTATTTAAAATAACATCCTTGCCTGAAGTCTCTCCACTCCAATACATCCTCCTCACAGCTGCTAACAGAATTTTCTGAAAGCATATATCTATGTCACTTAACTGCTCAACAAACTTACCATCTGGAAAGGTCCTCAGAGGCTTTCTATTCCAACATTTGTTTCACAGAGAAAGAAACTGAAGACCAGGAATGATTAAATGATTTATCTGAGATAGGTAATATGCATCAGAGGCAAATTCATCTTCACACAGTGTAGCCCAGCCAAATTGCTCTTTTCTGTTCAAATACACAACACTTCACCTTGTCTCCATTTGCTGTCCCCTACCTCCAGCTCCCATCTTAGATGCAATCCCTCATTTCCTTCCAAACTTGGTTCAAGCGTCTTCTACGCTAATCCTTTCTTGATCCCTACAATTCAGGTGCCAGCCCTCTCCAAAATTACCTTGTAATTATTTTTTGTATACTTATAAGTGTACATGTAAGCTGTTTGAGGAAAGAAACTATTTCATTTTTATCAGTGCAAAACCAGCACACCTTGAAGAGAGCTTGACATATAGTATGTACTTAAACAAGTGTTGGTTGACTATTGACTGGAAATAAAGGAGACTAGCAGCAATGTCAAAATGGACTGGAGTGGGGATGAATACAAATCACGGCATAGACCCGTAAAGATGTCAGGATGACTAAAGGGAATAATGTAATGAAATTTGTGAAAACTGTTAAGAACAAGAAAAGCTGATACTTACTAGTAACTTTAGGTTTACAAAGCACTTTACACACATTATCTTAACTGAATGGATAAAATCACCTGCCTTGGGGCACTAAAACTGAATATTCTTATGTTAAACTGCCATTTCTGAGGAATCATGGATACCAGGAAAAAATTACATCAGGAATAGGAAATGTACAAATTTCTCTATTTTCAGTACTGAGAAGGTAGATTCTTGAACCTACTAGCATTGATTTCTATCAAAGTTCTAGAATAAATTATTAAATGATTCAGGAGCACTTTGAAAGAGAACCTATGATCAGTATGAATTGGCACAAGTTCCACCAAGAACAAATCACACTAGATTAGCCTCATTTATTTCTTGGGCAGTATTACTATATGAGTAGCTCAGGCAACATACAGTATAGAAAAAGTGTATGTGAATTGCACACTGCCCATAATTATACTACTTCCCTGATCTTTAAGTCTGACCCTTATACCACAAATCCTCCTCTTCTTTCCCTCTACCATACTCCCCCTTAAATCTATTCTTTTTTTTCTTTTTTAAAAGGCAATTGGGGTTAAGTGACTTGCCCAGGGTCACACAGCTAGTTAAGTGTCAAGCAGTTGGTCTGAGGCCAGATTTGAACTCGGTCCTCCTGACTTTAGGGCCAGTGCTCTATCCTTAAAAAAACACGCATTTAACTTTGCCATCCCTTCAAGCTTCCCTCCATACCTAGATTTCCTTTCATGGGCAAACTTAGTCATCTACACTGATTGCCTCTATTTCCTCACCTCTCAACCCAGCCCTAGCAATCTGGCTTGCGATCCCACCATTCTACTAAAACTGCATTCTCCAAGATTATTAGCAACCTCTCAGTGCCTAAATTCAATGGATTTATTTGTCCCCAGCCTACTTAACCCATCTTCAGTCAACATTGTCAATAGAATCTGAGTTGAAAAGAATTCAGAGGTCACCTACTCCAACCTATACCTGAACAAGAATCTCAACAATCATCCAATTTTTGCTTAAAGATCCCTACTTCTCTTCCCTCGAATAAATTCTCTTCCCTTGACTTTTGAAATACTTTTTTATTCTACCATCCTAACTCCTCAGTCCACCTAACAGAAGTATCCACTTTCCACCCACTAATGCGGGTATGCCAAGATATCCAAGACTATCCTGGGCCCCATTCTCTCTCCTCCGACAACCCCCTAGGTTCCCGGTGGTTTCTCACCCTTAAATCTCTCTAATCTTTTTTCTGAACTCCTAATCCAGATTGCCAATTGCCCACTGGACATCATCTGTATGTCCCATCAGTATTTCAAACTCAACATAACTAAAATGGAACTCATTATCTGCCTCCATAAACCTTCCTCTAAGCTTACCCATTTCTATTAAAAGCCCTATAAAGTCTCCCAGATTTGCAACCTCTAAGTCATCCTTACCTTACACCCCCTATTACCCAACCCAATTTTGTGAACTTTACCTTTATATCTCCCCCAATCATTCCATTTCCACACCTAATTCAGGCCCTCATCACCTTTTAACTGGACTAGTCTACAGCAGCCAACTCTCTCTCTTAGATGTTCCTGTTAAACATTAATTGGGGCACTTTGGGGCATATCGGTTCATGTTCCCAATGTTGGATAGCTCTTTGGTAACTTAAGAAATATGTTTAATTAAGTACAGTTCTAAGAAATTCCTAAAAATGATGATCTTGTGAAAACCTAGCCCTTTGAACACGTAATAATACAAACTCAACAAATAGTTTAGTTCATATAATTCCTATCTACCTCAGTCTCCCTGTTTCCAATCTCTCTCCTCTAGAATCTATCTTCCACATAGCTGCTAAAATAATCTTCCTAAAGCAGTTATGAGGTTACTGCCTAGTTCTAAAATCTTCAGTGATTCCCTACGGCAATCTCCCCAGTTTGGCATTTAAAGCCCTCACTAAATCTGTTAAATAGCCTGTTAAATCTGATGTTTCTAGAATGATTGTACATTATTCCCCTTTCCACATACCAGCCAAACTGGCCTACTCATCATTTCCACGTCTCAAAAGTCATTTTCCCATAGCTGTGTGGACATAACTGTCCACAAGCCCAGACTGCATTTCCTACTTACCTTTACCTCTTAAAATCCTTAGGTTCCTATGAAGTTCAACTCAGGTACCACCTGCAACAGAAAAGTCTTTCTGTATGCCCCTAGCTGTTAGCGCTCCCTGAAACTATATGGCTAAGATGTTTCTTAAGTGTTTTACTTCTACCCCTCCCGCTAGAATGTAAGCTTCTTGAGGACAGACTTTTTTGTCACTGCATCCCCAAGGTCTAATACAGTGCTTTATGGAAGTACAAGTACTTTGATAAATGTTTACCAAATTGAGTTATTCTCTAAATGAAGCCATGTCCGTCCAGAACCAAACTTTTAAAAGAGAAAAACCCAAGATCAAAAAAAAAATTCAAAGTGATTTTTTTCTCACTTTCCCAACACTTCTACTTGTTCCTTAATCCTTCCTGGATGTACAGAAATCAAGAACATCTACCCTGATATATATGTTCTAGTATCCAAGTCAGAGTCAGGAATCTATTCCTTAAGTCAACTCTAAACCTCATATGGTGAAATTTAAATCCATCCTATCTTCTGATACTTATCTGAAGATAGACTCAATACTCTTAACATGAAATTAACTAGTAAACTATAAGGAAGTAAGGAAGGAGAGAGAAGAACCTCATTTCATTCTTGGGGGGAGGGGCGTGGAAACAGAAAGACGTAAAGAAAGAAGAAAACATAACTTACTCCTCTAAAGAAAAAGCTTTTTAGAAAAAGAGAGGAAACCAAGTAGGCATAAATTGTTTGAAAAATTTATTTTAAAATTAGTAACAGCACCAAAGCTTAAACACAGTGTCTTGGTTCTTTCTGTCCAATCTCTTCTCTCATTATTCAAATTTTTCATTGGTTTTTCTCCTCCCAAGAACCCACTTCCACTCTATAGCCATTTCAATGGCATACTCACTGTACATTAATTATTATCTAGATTGGCCAATCAGCAGAAAACTATATGTTTTTAAGAATCTTATGAAAGCACCCAAGCCCATACTTCACTCCCCCATCACAAAGCCAAAGTGGCATATGGATTTTTCAAAACTCTGAAGCCAGGTACAGTAAAAAGACAATGGAATAAAGCATGTGACTCAGCAAGCAGGACCTTCAAAAATAAAGTTAAGAAACTTGGGCATACATCTAGATGAACAAAGAGTCAGAGCCTAAAACAAAGGAATTGTTGAGAAAAACAACTGAAAAATATTATTACTACTGGTTTGAAACAGTTTAGGGCTAGCTTAGTAAATATCACTAGACTAGTCGAGTAAAGAAATATGTAATACCATTTATCCTTTAGTGCTTTGGCTACAAAATTCAAAACTCTTCAGCAAATAAAAATGCTACAATTTATCTAAAGGTCTGATTTTGAGTTAGGAACTCCCTCTACCAAATTAGATCACGTCTCTAACTTAATAAATAATCCTTAGGGAGCTGCCAAGAAAAGTGATGCCCATGATCACATAACTGATAAGTATCAGAAATGGGATTTAAACCAAGACTAGCATTCTATCCACTGTGCCATGCTGCCTACATATGACAAGTTAATTTGATTTGAAAATACTGTATTTTGACCAGTTTATCACTGGGTGTAAAAGGATTCAATGAACGTGCAACATTTTGCTTCTTTATGCTAACCTGTAATTAAGGCCAACCAATCAGAATAATTTCCTTATGCCATTTAAAAATCCAAATGGAAAACCCTCTAACATTTCTAACAGTTCCAAAAATGTTCATTAAGATAACTAACAGACTTAAAAGAGTGAATCTCTAATATAAATCCATGTCCTCCTCAAAAGATACAATTGAGAATAATTACCCTGATGATATGTCATAGTGTGTCTGCCATCTCTGGAAATGTTTTATTCATTAAATTTTAATCCTACTTACAAAGGAAATTTAGTCAAAAATTAAATGCAGACCTAATTAGCTGCATTTTTTAATAGCCATTCACAGAAAGAAATGTTCACATTTTTCTCAGTATGGCAGCTTATCCCTCTCAGACTAACAACTGTTGTAAGTTTAACACAAAGACAGGTTTTATTTTTGCCTTTACTTCATGGAATTCAAAGCTCTTATTTAGGAGAGGTCAATATCCATTCTAAGTAGAACCAGGGTATCTTCAGGTGCATTAAATTGCACAGAAGTTTACTACACACATCAGATTCAGACCAATTTTGTTTCAGGGTTCCCTTAAATCAATTCACTCTATTCCGAACACAATGATTCTGAAGTATTTGCCTGAATTATACACAATTTAACTTATTCAAAAAACCTGGTATGCTGAACTCACCTGTCTATACATTGCCTGAAAAAGTACTAATGCAATAAATACCTCTAGGGAATAAAAGAAAGAAACCCTAAAGTTAAGATCACTGTGATCCTCTAGAGGTGGTGTTTTTTTGGCTCTGAATGTTATCACTAGGGCTGAGCAATACCCATGGCTCCACAAGTAGCCCTGAGGCACAGGCACAGAACAAGGGAAAATAAGAGAAAGGAAGCCAGGCAGGCAAGTATGGATAAAGGAAAAAAAGCAATCAGTGAGATTGGTGAATGACAGAATGCCATGGTCTTACATGCCACTCAATGGTTGCTATGCCAGAAGATGCCTAACCTTTATTTAGAGTTTGAGAAATATTGAATTATAAAACAAAGTTTTGGGAAATAGTGAATTATAAAACACGGTTGTACCTAAATTGGAAATATCTTTTTTAAACATCTTCCTGGCCCTCTGGAGATGGGGAGGTTTTGAAGGAAAATTAAACAAAAGTTTTGGCTCTTTTCTCAAATTATGTATCCTTTCCCACAAAAACTAAATTGACTTTTGAGCATAACTAAAAAATAATATTACGTTTGGAAAAGTTCACATATGGAAACTCAAAGCCTGAAAAGGAAGGGGAAAAAAAAGAAAGGAAGAGTCTTCTTACACAATGGTTAGAATTAGATTGTTAACATCTGAAAAAGGTCATCTTCTGATAAAAAAAGAAAGTTCCACAAAACATAATTACAAGTTATTAGAATGAAGTAGACAAAGACTAATTCTTCTTAAATTCCCATATATATACTATACACATATATATATGGAATTTTAACATCTGAAATACAAGTTGGTTAAAATACTGCTAACAGCACATACAGAAACAGTACTTCACTTATCACTCAATACAAGTACATACTGTATATACAATTTTGTTGTAAAACAAGAAAAATTGCTCAAACATCCAAATGATCTTGCTGTATAAGTATATACATCTAATTGTCCAAAAGAATGCTTGCTATGGACTCAATTTCAGCACCATCATAGCGCAGTGCCTATTACTGCGACAACCTAAAATAAAAAATACAGTACATTCTGAACCCCTAGAACTATTTTCATAATATACTTTAAAGCATTTTATGGCAGACAGAGGTATCCTGAAGGGCTTTCCCCCCATACAGGTACACAGTCACCATTAGTAACAGTTAAGAGCTCTTTGCATCATTGTTCAGACACATAATATACCAAACGTAAATGTACAGGTATTTTATTTAAATGCTTCACACAATTTTACAAAAATTGCCTTAAAAAAATTTGCACTTTAGTTTTTCATTCCTAACTTTCTCCCTGTTAACTCAACCCCAAAGGAAAAACCTGGTTTCAGGGATTGCATCCCTTTTTCCTCCAAGTTCTGAATTTTCCTCAAAGACCTATTAGCACAAGTGCCTGTGTCTAATTACACAAGTTCCTCAACTTATAACAGCCACCATTCAGCCTGAAACCTAAAACAAAACAGTGTTAAGTATCTGCCAATAGTTCTGTTAAAAATTCTTTTGAAATTGGTACTGACTTCATTTTGATCAGAGGGAAGAACAGGATTAGAGCAAAGTGCTAGGTAGATTGCTGCTCTGCCACCTGAGGCAAGTAGTCTTGGAATGTTTATACAGGTGGCTTGACTGGCTGAACCTCTTGCCGCACTTTAAGCAGGCATAGGGCTTCTCACCTGTGTGTACACGAATGTGCTTCTTACAGTCTGTTAAGGTCAAAAATGTCTTACAGCAGATTTTGCAGGCATATTTTCGAGCTCCCTCTACAACTAAGACATTGTGCTCTGATAAGGCCTTCTTACACTTTGATAGAACATCAGCAGATGCCCTGGTCAATTGAGGGGGACCAGGCTGGGAAGGATGCCCATTTTCAAAGGACGAAGTAGGTGCATTCATTAACAACTGGGAATTAGCTGAGTTATCTTGTATTTGAGAGCTCCTAACAGAGGTCACAACTGGCATTTTTGGAGCTATACGACGATAGCCTGGAAAATTACTGGCTCCCCCTCGAGAGGAACCTATCATTGTCCTGGAGAGAGAGTGTATTCCCAAACCGGTTCTGGGAAAATCTATCCCAAATTGTTCCGCAGCTCGATAACCAGAAGTTTGCACACAGGGAAGGCCCATTACTTCCTGCATAGGTCTAACAAAATGTGATTCTGCAGGTTCACTGAAAGGATTCTCCACATGAGAGACAGTAGCAGAAGAATGACCAGCTGTAGGCCCCGACTCTGGACTTATTATATAAGATGTGTCATTATCTATTCTGCAGTCACTGGTAGTGTTTGGAATGTTGTCATCATTGTTCTGACTGGCACTAAAGGTGCTACTTCTGCTCTTGTTTAGAAAATTTGAAATACTAAAAGTGGATTTGTGTTCCAGATTATTGGAAACCTCCAAAATATGAATGTCCCCTACTCTGTCAGTGCTGGATTGTGGATCTGAAAAACTACGATCACTACTTTCCGGACTCAGCTCTATCTTTTCGGCACTGACCACCCCACCTTCCACTTCCACAGATTCACTGCCTTCTGCTTGAGAGGTAACGTCACTCACTTCATCTTGAGGTTCAGGGGAGCTCAAAGGTTCAGATTTAACCACTACTCTCATGTGGTCTTTCTCACCAAGGTTAACCTCTGGATTTTCACACTGAAAACCATTTTTCTCAGAAGTAGCTTCCTGGTCAAAGCTGGTTTCCACTTGAGTTGCCTGAGATGCCATGGACATTTGAGAAATATTCCCGGCACTGTTGTCAGACTGACTGGGCATTTGGGCATCTTCTTGTCCATTGAATGACTGATCAAACATGATAGCATTGTCTTCCTGGGTATCAGTTACTGAATCTGACTTAGAATTGTCCACAATTTTCAAAGAATCTGGTGAAAAAAACTCCTCACGAGAATGAACCACTGCCTGTCCATTCTCTGGAGTTGTATCTGAAATCATGGACTCGTCTAGAGAAGGTCTGATGCGTTGTCTGGCTCGATCTTCCGAAGACTGTTTCCGCTTGTGGAAGCGCCTTATTGGAAATGTCGTACGCTGTTCTATGTTACTCCTCATTGATAAGTTCATGGTAGTCTGTTGTTCTTCTGTACTCTGGCTAAATTTAATGCAGAGCTCACTATACTCAGTCCCAGCTGCTGAAGCATAAAAGACCTCTGCATTCGTGCATTTTGTTCCTGAACTCTATCACTGGGGGGAGACATAGGCAGCGTCCTTGTAGTTAAATAATGTTTACAGGCCTTAACAACAGAGTTCAAATGCAGATGAGAAGCTGCCAACAAGACATCCATAACATTACTCTCCCCAAGCATAAGAGTGGAGGTATACATCATATCAATCAAAGCAGCAAAAGCCTCTGCTGTCACCACCTCACTATCCAGCTGGATCATGTTCATGGTTTGATCTCCCTCAGCTACAGTAAAAAGGGCTCGAAAATGGGTGCTGCAGGCTGCCAACACAGAACGATGTGCTTTAAAATGTCTATTCCCCACCACAATGACACAATCACAAAGTTGGCCATGAAGTCGTTGATAGTTTAGTTGTTGAAAGATTTGTTCAAAGTGTCCAGGAAAATCCATGATCCTATGTAATTTAAAAGGGAAAAAAAAAACCAACATTAAAATTGTGAATGGTTTTAGTGAGAGAATAAAGCATAAATGTTGCAAATGAGAGTCAAAAGAAAAGCAAACTACCAGTCACCATCTTATTTTAGTCTGTTAGAATAGATGAGATATCAACAATGTGCAAAAGCACATAAACTAAAAGTCTTATCAAATCAAGAGCAAACAGAATTTAGCTGTCAGTTTAGTCAAGTGTGCAAATGCTGGCGAATAAACCCACAGGTTGCCCAAATATTGCCTCCCACTTTTCATATTATGTTCTTAAAATAAGTTACAGGTTGGAAATTTTCCATTTGAATTATGCTTAATACATAAATAAGCCCAAAGTACTTTGTTAAAGGGATGCATATTTTGAAGACAAGAGCTAGGCCCTGATTTAGTGATTAGGAAATTCAAAAGAAGCCCTCTATTAACCTGGAACCGAATAAAAGATAAAAATAAAGAGGAATCAAAATTTGATGATAAAGACCAAGAGATAGATTAAAGATCCCTTATATTCAAATTCTCCAATTCCTTTCACCAAGTAAATTTTGAACAACCAGCTCCTAAAACTAACTGTAGCACTAAATTATATATGGCTGTTTAATAAAAGACTGTTTTATGATGTCAGGTTTAGGCCCAGAAAACTGTAGATTCTCACCTCTTTAATTTAGCAGAAAACTACTGGAGCATACTGTTCTCAGAAACCTCCCTCTTTCCTGGGAACTTTGTGATTGGCTGATTCAAAGTCTTTGTGTCCTTGGATACAGCTCAGTGACAGAACCTTCCTGAGGTAAACAGTTAGGAAAGGGGGCCAGCAGCCCCAAAGTGGTACATTTTCATCAACACTCTCTGCCCCAATGCTCTCGAAGCTGCAGGGACTCCCCAGAGCAAGGAGGAGCTATAAAGGACAAAAATATCATGGAACAAAAACACATCTGGCAGGTTTCTAACCCTCTACAGCTTTCCCATTGTTGTAGTTTTTCTGAGTGAAGGCAAGGGAATAGAGAAATAGAGGCACAAGCTTGACTCTGTCTCATTGCTTATGGAAAATAATGACACTACACAGCTGAGACTGTAGTCAGACTATTTTTAATTAAACTCAAGGGAATCCTTCTTCCATTTGGACCTTTGCACAGGACAGACTCCATGACAGTAGTGAATACCTAGGGCAAGTATACATCCCTCTGTTTTATGCCTCATTTGACATTAATAGTAAGAGGGTTGTTGAACAGTTATCTTTATAGCTACATTCAAGGGCGCTTGAATACTCCTAACATGCATAAGAAAGGCATTATTGGAGGGTAGCCTTTAAAGCTAAATTTTGTGCTATCATGTCAAAAAAATTTTTTGTAAAGGAACAACACAGTGGGATCTTATATTCTTGTCACCTTTCAGTCAGTCATAAAATGATAAGAGTGCATGGTCTGATGAAGAAAATCAAGTGTAACAGCCCGACTCTCTGCTCCTTTTTCACATATTCATTAAGGAATATCTTTGCTATATGTGTAGATAATCCTCATAAAATGAGAAAGAAGGCATGTGGAAAATCGCAAAGGAAATATATGCTCAAAAAAGGAGGCAAGCTGGTCATGCTGTCAAAACCAGCAAACAGAGAGCCGGCCCAGTGCTACATGACTTGATATCCACAAAATATAAGAAAACCTACACATTAAGTGGAGCCTCTATGGAGAGCTATGTGAGAATATGGACAAGAAAGGCAAGGAATTAGAAAGCGTGAATGGGTTGCAAACTGCGCTCTGACCTGTGTCAAAGAGATCACTGATCCACTGATCAGATCACTGATCAATACTGACATACTGACGGAAACTCAAGGGGCCAAAAGACCAGAGATGAGTCATTAGGTCCTATTTGTCACCTACAAGCTGTCCATTTTCTCAGCTGATAGCTAAAGGGGACAGGAAATAGCAAATACTAGGTCTAGTAGAGACAAAGCTTGCCCAACAAGAATGACTTAGAGCCTACTACAACAGAAACAAACTAGGCACTTAATGCCTCTTGTTAGACATACACAGAATCATGGAACCTCATGGTTTAGAGGGACCTCTGAGGTCAAAAAATATCTAAACAGAAAACCCCATCTATGATATTCCCCTACACTGGTCATCCAGCCTCTGCCTGAAGATTAATTATGGAGAACTCACTATTTTACAGAAGCAACCCATTTCATTTTTTGAAGTTCTATTTATTATAAAGTTTTAACTCATGTTGAGCTAAAATTTGTTTCTTTATAACTTCTACTCATTGCTCTCAGTTCTGCTCCCTGGCCAAACAGAACAAATCCAATCCTTCCACATAAGTCCTAAAAGAAAGTTCTCATCCTCTTTCAATTTTTCTCCTAAAAAGAGTCCAAAGATCTTTAAATCTTTGCTTTAAACCTAGATGAAATGATTTCTAGTCCTCTCAAGATCTTCTAGTGTATCTTTGCCTTTCTTAAAATATAGAACTCTGAACTAGATAAAAAACCCAGACGTGGTTTTATCAAGGTTGAGTATATCCTCCCTAGTTCTAAATATAGCAGCAAATAATGTTAGTTGAAATGAATCTGAAATGCAGCCTAACATCCCATCAACTACCATGTAACACTGTTGACTCATACAGAACTAACAATCTGCAAAAAGACCCAAATCTTTTCCACATGAGCTACGTATCTATCTAGTAATGCCTTCCCTATTCTGTACTTGTGCAACTGTGGGCTTTTAAAACCAAAGACAGAAATTTGCATTGCTCCCTATTAAACTTCATTATTAGATTCAGCCTATTATTGTCACCTAACATCTCAACTATCCCTCCAAGCTTTGTTTCATCTGCAAAACTGATAAGCATGCTATCAACCAATATTTATAAGCTTCTCAAGGAAAGGGACTCTCTCTTCTATTTAATTTGTCTCAAATGTTGCTAATTCACTTTCATTTCAAATAATGTTCTGAGCCAAACGCCTATTTCAGGTTAGGGAGTGCAGAGAAGGAATTAAACACACTCCAAGTAACTTTGTGTCCTCTAGGGGGATACCTGTGGGAATCAAATTGTCCCAGGCCAAAAGGCATCAAGACTCTCAATACTCCCGGGTCTCCTCCGGAGGCTATATAGCCTTGGTCTGCTGGCAGAAGACAAAGTTCCAACATCTATGCCCTCTCTTCCTGTGGGAGATGTCTAAGGGATCCTAAGCTATGCATTCACCAGAAGATTAGCTCTCTGATAGTTCCTACTCTCAAAAGAGTTCTGTCATGACTGTAACTCCATTTGGACACACAGATTTTGTCCTTCAGAAATGGTAACAAGTAATAAAGGGTAGCAAGTAGAGAACAAGTAAATAAAACTAAAAAGAAAGTTGTCAGAGCCATCACTTCAGGTATGTGGAGGGACTGAGCTGGGTTTCTGCAGAAAAGCTGAGGTCAGATCCCAGGGTCCTCAGCAGCCAGAACCACCACTTTCCATTATGTCTTCTGTACTATAGCCAAAATGGTCTACTTGCTATCTCCCATCTAATGTATCTTTGCTCAGGCATTGTATCTTTCTCCAGGCATTGTATTTTTCCCTCCCCTTATCCACAATCTTTTATTTGTGGAAGTCATAGGATCACAGGATCACAGATTTAGAACTGGAAAATGCTTTAGAATCCAACTCCTTGTTTCAGAGATGAGGCAATTAAAGCCCAGTGAGGTTAAGTGAGCTACTGAATTCAAACCAAAGGCTTCATAACTCCAGGTCCAACTTTCTATCAATTGTTATGCTATCTTAACTCTCAAGCCTATCTATCAATACCTACCTATACAGTCCAAATGCCACTTCCTTCATAGTCTTCTCTGGTACTCACCATGTACCTCTAACAATTTTGTGTTTATTTGCTTAAATGCAGTATTCTACCTACAATACTATAAAAGCTCCAGTGTTGTAAAATTTGTAAAATTACTCTTAAGGCTCAGACATATGCTATGGTGGCATCAAAGAGCTCAATATCACCTATGAAAACAAAAAGAAGTCATTATTAAGAGCTTAATTTATAACAATGCAGAGGTTAGCTGGACATACATTTAAATTTCAGCTGAAGTCAATACTGAAACATCATTTACAAAGTTTCTGGCTTTGCTCTACTTACACGGTCTCCATAAAAAGTATCTTAATAACCAAGAGCTCTCTAAATATCCAGCTAAGACAATCAGTACTTAGAAATATATCTTTAACCATTTCCAACATGGTGCATTTTGAGATATTTTATATAACAATGAAATCCAGTATAATTTTGACATGTGAATAGCTAGTGTCTAAGGTTAGAGTAAGAGATAAGCACTGAAGAAAAGCCCTCTGTAACTAAAGAGCCACACTATGGGCTTTATTTTGAATAAACACTATATTAAGATAATAAATTCCTCAAGTGTATGTATAAACTATGGATTTTCTAGTTTGGGATTAAGCCTCAAAAATAATTCCTGTTTCAAATACCCTGGGAGTCTCCTTGATGAAATCCTAATAGAAAGTTAACAAAACACATAAGCTAATAAAAGAAGTAGTGATATTAAAGAAGCATATACACATGAAACTTGAGAAGTAAAATTCAAAAAGCCAAAGAGGCTTAAGTACTGTACAGCTTCTACATATACTTAGGTGTAAAAACAATCAAAATTCAAATATTCACATGTTGTAACTATGCCCATTACATTATGATTTCTAAATTAAAGTCCACCAAATTTCTTCAAAGATACAGTTAAATTAATCACAAAAAAAAGTGTTTATGTGTGATGAATCTTTAGGTGTTTACAACGAAAATATCCCCCAAACAAGGACCCATAAGAATGAATTCTCATAATCCCCATCCTGCCTATCCTCATTTTCTCAATTACTTCCCTCTTCTTTATGGGAATGAACCATATCACCTTTTGGGCTGAGGCAAAGGATCAGACTTAGTAAATAGAGCTAGGTTCTTAGCGAATTTGCCAAATGAAACTTAACTCCTAGAACAAG